TATGTATACTACTAGGTCCCAAATCTATCAAGAGCGGGATTTTCTAGGTCAGGTACTGTTGCAAATATTGTCCCAATCTTGTTACGTCATATCCGTAGTCACATGATTATGTAGCCCAAAACCATATGTAATGTTGTACTATGTATCCAGGTCGAAATGGCACAGAAAACCTCGAATATGTATGTGATATTTTTTTAAATAGAAGCTTATGCCAATATGTAATAAAGTATGAAGTATAATAGTATTATTTACCTTGATCGCTCAAACGAGAATAACTTTATTTATCGTTATGAGGTTGGTCTGAAACTCTGAAGTGTCTGAACTCTGTAACTTTTTGTCACTCACAAGTCATAATCCCAGGCCCGGGGTAGCTGCGTAGGTTGTCAGCCGAGGGGCGAGAAATGTGCAGAAAAATTTATTACCGAAAGCGTAGCTGTAGAGTCCCTATTTCTTTTATTGAACTTGAAATCTGTCTGGAACGCTTTTTCCCCATTTTTTGTTATTTGTTTTTTAAAAAAACCAACCCAAAATAAAAATTGTGACCCTTCACTCATCATGTCAAATTGTCAATGTGTGTGTCCGTGAATTGTGGTATGCCATAAATAGCCTTCTATTTGTTGTGTGTGGACTGTGGAGTGTGAACTGTGGGCTGTATGAGATAAACTTTTTCATTGGCTACTGATAGCTTGGCCGTAGCTGTGTAGCCTGTAGGCTGTAGGCTGTGGAGTGTGGGCAGCTGTGGGAGACCTGAGTTTCGGAGTTACGACTTTGGGAGTTGGGACTGGGAGTTGGCCGTTGGGACTTGGGATTGGGGACCAGCCGACCAGGTCGTGTGATTTGTTTCGATTTTTTTGTTACATTTGATTCATAGCCTTCTAGAAAATGAACATTTGATTTGTATTTGATTCTGAAGAAAAAAACATTTATCAAAGAAACCTCTTAGGCTCTCTCTGAATAAAATACAGTCAACAGAGCGGACTATTTATTTGATACTGGTCCTGAATCAGCAAATACCTCTACAGTCATACCTCTTTATATGTCCACCTCTTTAAGGTGTCTACCTCTTTATATGTCCAATTTCTATTCTGACCAACCCCCTATATATGAGTCAGGTCTTTTTAAACCGGTCCTGCAGCCTGCTCTGGACGTCCGACTAATAATATCACTGATTGGAACTGAGCTGATCACTCTAGTTGTTCTTTTTAAAATTTGTGTTGTTCATCATAGTGATCCGGTCATCCGGTCACTGCGGTCAGACCGTCAAAGGGTCGGTGAGACTCAGACTCAAGGGTGGATGCACTACGAAGTATGCACTACAACGCACCCAGTGGGTGGTGTATATAAATGTGCTGGTTGCGATCGAAGTATGCCTGCCTTTTGTGGCGTGCATCTTGGTGAGGGGTATGGCTCAAATTCAATCGGTTACTGCCTGTCTACAGATAAATGCCAGCCACCGGATGGCATGTGGGAGTCTGGTTTCACTAATAACAGACAGACAGAGCCAGACGAATTGACACAAAACGCACCTACAACGATAGATAAGCTCACTGTTGGTAAGAAGAAGAAAACATATCAACAGACTGTATTATCAAATGTGAGCTCCAATACAACAAAAAGGATCAATCTAACAAACAATGTTAGAGGTGTCATCGTGCGTACAATCCAGAAAGCGGGATACACCTTAGACCTATCATGGAAAGACATCTATCGTAAGGATTTAGTTAAGGAGGACGTGCGGGTAGCGCATGCATCATTCGGCGTCAGTATCAAAACAGTAAGAAGGTTCATGGAGTCTGGAGAGAAGATACTCAGTCAGTCTTATGAGGTACATGCAAAAAAGAAATATGAACCCCGAACCTGATGGTATGAAACTGGCCCAGACTTGTCTTACCTCTTGGACATATAAAGAGGTATGTATTACTCATTTGTTTTTAAAATAAATGTCGTCTAAAAATCAAATACTTTTTTCTTCTTTTTTGGCATACAAATACTAAAACGGAGTAAATCTATTTTTAAAATACCCGTTGAGTGGTCAATTTTCAGAATAAAAAATAGAATTTCTTATTCCGAAATTTGACGTCACTTTTTGTCGAGATTTGATCAATTTCAAAATTTGAATTCGAGATTTTACTATTTTTCTAAACATTGTATCATTTACACAAACAAAAGCAAATAGATAGGACATACTTTATACATATATTTGTTTTGTTCTTACACTTTTTTGTACCAACTTCCCCAACAAATTCGATCTTATGATGATACAGGATCCGATATTTTGATTAAATTTAAATTTTTAAGACTTGTAATCCAATCTACACGACTAATTAGAACCGGAACTTTAATTTCAGGCAAATCAGTTGGTTGGTTCAGAAGATAGAAATTGTACCGTTAGCAGTATAAATATACCCACAGCTTAACATACCGTTAACGGTACAAATTCTATCTCGAAAACTAACCAACCGATCCGCCTGAAATTAAAGCTACAATTTTAATTAGTTTCACAGTGGGCATTCCAGCTCTTAAAACCCCGAATAGACTGGTTTAAATTCGCGTCGCTGACTACAATTCATACCAAAAATATGCTCGTTGGACCCAAAATGTTCTGTGACGTCATCAACTTCGAAAGAATCAAAAACTATTTCGACAATTTCCGCCCCTATTTTTCATTATGTTTTGAAGTATAAATATATTTATATATTTATGTCAACACAAATGATTTTCTGATTTCGACTTTTTGTTTTGTAAAAAAAAACTCAATGGAACAAAAACATAGCCTTCTGACCGTTCTGAGAATTCAACTTGAAGAAGGCTAAATATTGACAAAAAGTGGAAAAAATGTATTGAATTTAGGGCAAATTGCAAAAGGGATTTTCGGTAGAAGGCCATTATTTCATGTATTTAAA